CTCTGCTGCCAAGGAACAGGCGATGGGACACGAGGAAACGGCCTCAGGTTGTGCCGGGGGAGGTTTAGGTTGGATATTTGGAAAAATTTCTCCACAGAAAGGGTTATCAAACACTGCAACAGGCTGCCCCGGAAAGTGGTGGAGTCCCCATCCCTGGGGGTATTTAAACGACAGGCAGATGTGGTGCTGAGGGACATGGTCTAGTGGTGATTGATTTTGTCAGCGTCAGGTTCATGGTTGGACTCGGTGATCTTAAAGGTTCCTTCCAACCTAGACAATTCTATGATTCTATTCTACGATTTTGTCCAGTTCGGGCTGTGGAAAACCAGCGAGTTTGTGTGGTGGAGCCCGGTCCGCGAGGAAACGTCCAGGGGAAGCTGCCCAGAGCGGGAAACGCTGAGAGAAGAGGGAGGAGGCTCCTGAAAGTCACCATCTCCGACCCTCAGGCGATGCCTCCCCGCTAAGTGTGGACGCGGAGAGGTTTTCTTCACGCCAAGCCATTAAACAGGAGCTCAGCATTGCTTTTCCACATAAGGCTTCCTCATTCAACATGAACACGACAGGAATTTTTTCACCAGCACAAGGCTTTGGAATTCATCAGCTCACAGCCCACAGGAGAAAGTTGTGTTTACTCCAAGTTATTTTAGGAGCCGGGCAGTGGAGCTCAGCCATTCAGGAGCATGAGGCCTGTTGAATGGCAGTGGGTGCGTGGTCTAAGTCACTCCAAGTATTTAAAAATCCTCCCCAAAACCAGTTTGGCCAGGGCTGGGAGTTCCTGATGACGGTCATATCCGTCACCATTTTCTGTGACGGAGGTACCGTTCAGTATTCTCACCTACCACTTGTTACCAGCCACTGATGGCACAGATGGTATGAAGGAAAATTCTAAGAGAAAAAAAAGCCACCATGGTCTGAAATTAACACCTATGTTTGGTTTCATTGTTGCAGGATAAAGGCTTTTCCCTTTTTGCCTTTTTTTTTCCCCACCAAGAACGCTCCTGTGAAGCACTGGAGGCAGGAGGCTCTCTCCTACGTTCTATACACAGCTCCAGTGGAGTCTGTAGCCCTAGCTTCGCTATTCCAAGATTAAGTTACTAAATTATAATCACTAGTTTGCCAGAGTTTAAAAACTGTTCTTTGATAGAAAGTTAGTCCAAAGCCCCTTAAAAAACTTCCATTTTTCTCGACTTGTAAAGCAGTATGATGATTGCATGAAAATGATCTTGGATGCTAGGTCTGCCACTCGGAGACCACCTGAATGCATCCACAGAACCACTCTCTCTGCAGCAGGCATCTCACCATCGCTAGCAGTTTGTTTGTACATTTGGTCTCTATTACATATCTACTACTGGTTATGTATTTTGGTATTAAAAACAGATGCCTATTATAGAAGATGCATTCTAGAAACAAGCCGGAGAGCAAAAGGCACAAAAATGCTACTCTAGCTCATAAATAGAAAAAGATTTTTTAAAAAAATTAATACTTCATGAAATCTTTATTCCCTTTGGGAACTTAAAAGAATAAAGTCTGTTTACTGCATTCTTTAATGACGTGTACATTCCATCAAGGTAGCACACACACACATTTTCCAAGCTGAAGTGTGCCATATTATATGAGGTGTAGTCAAAGTCTGAAAGTTACACTGGTGACTTTCCTCTAGAAACAAAATTTTAAAAGCGGTTTTGTGCACCTTGGACTTGGTAATAAACTCTTCCCCTCCTCTAATCCTTCTGCACAGTCTCCTTTAGAAAGCATGAAATTGGTATAGTACAGTCTTTTATAGATGCAGTAATCTTTCTGCTTATTTTGTTCTAGACATTTCAGAGGCTTTTACATAAAAATTTAGCAAAATACTCTTTGGAAAGTTAATTCAGCTTAGTACAAACACAGATAAAAGCTCAAAATAATAAGTTGTTTCATGTTAATCAAAAGTTTAAACAAAGCCAGAGAATTATTTATTTTTCTCTTTCTTGCAATGCGTGATAATAATCCAGCACCATTTTTAGTATCTGTAAATTGAGTTAAATTGTTACGTTCTTTGCAGCCTAGATTTTACTGTCTGCTGCAGTCTAGAACACAGGAACCTTGCTGCAAAATCCAAGTCCAGGTCATTATAAACTTCATAAAGCTGTGGTTTAAAACAGTAGGTCATTAGTGTCTGTCTGTATGCTGTTTGCCGCTACATCTGTGGGAGGGTGCATTTACTGTCCCCAAATCATGAACAGATTCCCCAAACTGATCTGTGATACAGAAGTGTTTCCTAGAAGATGAAAAGCCACACATCTGTTTTGTTACAATGTAAAGTCAAGGAATTCAGAAATGGTGTGAACCCAGTTCTTCTTAAGGTCATGGTTGACCTGAATTTATTAATATTTTTTATTTTCTTTAGATCTTTTGGTGTGAAGTATAAAAATGACAAACTTCCTAATTCAAATAAAAAAATATCAGAATAAAATAGGGAATGTTTTAGAACTGAGAGAAAAATCACACACACAGATTTTCATACGATTTTTAGAACGCCTACAATTAAGGATCAATTGGTAGTGATGTCCTGGAAAACATCTTCTTTTGTTAAACAATGAGGAACTGAAAACTGTGTCCCATCAGTCTCTTCCAGTGACTCCTGTGGCTTGGTGAGAAGCAGCAATATTTAGAAAATAATATACACGTACAGATTTAAGAAATGGACAACAGTTCTCTGTAGATGTTTATTCTACTTACAGTAACAAAAACCTGTGAAGTCCCATATTTTAATGTACAGCGATATATCTTGCCATATAAAATACAATTTACAGAAATTTCTATCAAGTAAACCTAAACAAACACACTTACTTTTTGCATACTTTTATGTATGTCTTTAAATTAGAAACATCTCATTAAGAAAAAAATCTTACACCATAGTAGATGTTTGCAGTTAATACCACCTCTCTGCATTTTAACGTTTTGCCTACAGGTTCAGAATCCCAATGATCGTTTCAACCAGCAGATCCTTGATGTATAAGGACTTCAAAGATGCACCAATATGGACTGTAAAATCTGTAGTGAGATACATGGCACACATGCTACTTGTAATGTGGTCTTCAAGATGCAGATGTTTATAGGAATTTCATTTTTACATTTCCAAAACTATTTTATAAAAATATCAAAATATTTACCCAACTGTTAATCTACATGGTCAAATAAATTAGCGGAGTTTTATTTCATACTTTAGAATTATGTACTTGAAGAATACATGGAAAAGTAGCAATGTAATGTATTTCACAGTGAAAAACTTCCCTCTTGAATCACAACATGCAGTACCACCGCTC